ACGATACAACGTACCGATGTCTGGATGGATCTTCGTCTTGGTAAAGAGAGAAACAAAGGCCGATAAGATAGCAGTCCCAGCACTGGGACCTTCTTTTCCAATACTACCCTCGGGCATGTGGACGTGGATATCACGGTCCGTGAGGAATTGTTCATCGGGCGTCTTAGTGATGCCAAGCTCGTATGCGTGTGCTTTGACCCAACTAAGCCCAATCTGCGCACTCTCGCGGATAACTTCGCCAAGTTTGCCAGTTAGCTGCAATCCACCCTTACCAGGCATGCTCTGCGAAGAACCATAAGCATAATTTGCATCCGAGCGTAGAGAATGGACAAACAGTAGCCTCAACGGGCATGACAGCGCCCGACCCGTTGCCCAAGTATCCAAGACCAGTGCTGACACCTGGAGGTGGAGGAGACACGTACATCCTGTCTTTGTGATAGACAGGTGGACCAACATAGTCTTTCAGGTTCTCTGGCGTGATGCGGACGTGAATATCATCAGGAATCTGTAGTGGCTTGCGCTCCTGTGTCGTCACAGTTTTGCGGTCGCCAGATTCATTGCTTGTACTCTCCTCCAATGTGACCGTATTGGGCTCGTTGGCAGGTGGTTCTTGAGACTCGACAGTCTTGGACGGAGGATCAGCAGCACTCGACGGGGTAGGTGCACTGGTAGACGCAGCTGAGACTGGTTCAGGGAAGACAGTTTCACCAAGGTCGAGGATGAGTTTCAGCGCAGCCTTCCGGTAGATCTACAGCAGCCGTGAGCTATGCATATAGTATACTGGCACAATCCCCACCTTGTCAATATGCTTCTTCAGATTCCGCACACCGCTTTCTCGGCAGTAATACTTGATGAGCACATCGACGGCGGAGGGCTCGAGGACAATGTCGGTGTCCTTCAAACCTGACGCTTCCTTTGCCTGTGGTCCGAGGTACTTTTCGGCGATAACACATTTCTCCTCTGAGACATAACCACTGACTTCAAGGACTTCCATGCGGTCGAGGAGAGGTGCTGGGATCGTGTCTAGGTTGTTGGCTGAAAGATGTGTTAGCGCAAGTACGAGCAACACAGCATGTCCTCTAGACTACTCACCTGTGCAGACGAACAGAACGCGTGACAAATCGACGGGAACATCCATGCTAAGAAGGATGAATATACGTCATGAAGTGAAGTGATGGAAAACACTCACTAGTGATCCAAGAATCCGTTGTTTTGTTCAGGGTCCAACATCTCAAGCAGCGCGCTAGCAGGATCCCCATTGATGCCTCTCCCGATCTTATCCACTTCATCAATCAAGACCAACGGGTTCTCGGTGCCTACCCTCTTTAGCGCCTGGATGATCTTTCCAGGAAGCGCACCGACATATGTCCTCCGATGGCCCTTGATCTCTGCTACATCCGTCAAACCACCAACCGAGAAGCGGAAGAATTGTCTGTTAAGCGCACGGGCAATCGATTTGCCGATAGATGTCTTGCCAACGCCAGGAGGCCCAACAAGGCAGATGATTTTGCCTTGGACTGTTCCCCGAAGCTTACCCACTGCAAGGAACTCCAGTATGCGGTCTTTAACGTCCTTGAGGCCATAATGGTCTTCATCGAGAACTTTCTGAGCGTGTGTGATGGAGAAGTTCTCGGGTGTATGCTGGCCCCATGGTATCTGTAACGCAGGTGTCAGTACAAAAAATGAAAGTTGACGAAATGCGCACCTGAGTAAGCCATTCAAGGTAATTGCGCGTTACATTCGCCTCTGAAGCAGCAGGTTCCAGTCCCATCAATTTATTGAGTTCCTCGTCAAAGACCTTCCGGACGCCCTCTGGCATCTTTAACGAGGCGGCACGCTCCTTGAATTTTTCAATGAGCTTGTCCTTCCCGTCTGATTCCATGCCGAGTTCCTTTTTGATCCCTTTCAGCTGTTCCATCAGGTAGTACTCGCGTTGACGCTTTGCAATCTTGCTATCGACGTCACGTGAGAGTTTACTCTGGAGCTGAGCATTGATAAGCTCTTTCTTGAGAACAAGGAGGGCCTTGCGGAGACGGTCGTCGACGACGAGACTCTCGAGCACGTCTTGAAGTTCTCCAACCTCACCGGAGGATACAGCAGCCGCAAAGTCTGCGAGCTTGTCGGGCTCGTCAAAGACATTGGACGCAACCTGGTTGATAGAGAAGTTGGTAATTTGATCGCGGAAGAGAGGGTTAAGCTGGGCGATGTCCTTGAAGACGGAAACGATCTCAGACATAAAAGCACGAATGTACTGGTCGTCTTTGTTGTATGGTTGTGTGACGAGATTGTCTACTTGAACGATGGAGATAGCATGCTTGTGTAGGAATGAGGTCTGGACAGGACCTGAGAGGGACATTGAATTATTTGTTGTCATGAGTTGTGAGAAACATACCCTGTGGTATCTTCGCGACGTCACCTTCAGTAGGCGTGGGAGGAGGGGTAACCGTTTGCGTCTCTTCCTCCACTTTAGCAGTACTAGGATTTTCACCAGCCTTGATTAGTTCCGTTATCTTGATTCTACGGTGTGGATACAAAACAGCAGTGAGACCCTCCTCCTTGTCATCACCAGCGCCATTGTTCGCAGCAAACACGCTAGTAATCTGAGCAAAGACACCGACCGGATGAACCGAATTAATATCCGTAATGACATCGCTATCCGTATGCTCGTCCTTTAGCAAGAAAGCACCAAGATAGGGTTGACCTCGCTTCATCATCTCCTTGATAGCAGCGACGACAGCCGGATTGCGAACGACGACAGCCTTGTAAAAACCAGGAAAGAGAGGACGTCGTGCGATGGGGAGAGCCAGAACCTGGGGGTAGACTTCTGGTACGGACTGTTTAGCTATTGAGCTGGGAGTAGGTGTCGGCTGTGAAGATGGTGGTGGTGGATCAGAACCATCGCTACTATCTCCGCCAGAGGAAGAAGACGGTGGAGTTGATGACTGGGAAGATGAACCTGCTGGACTTTCGTCATCTGCACCGTCAAGCTTCACAGAATTGCTACTCGATTCCGCCGCGTCATTCTCAGGTTCTGATGGTGCTGGAGTGGGTTTGTTATTGCCTGGCCAGCGTGGAGAGGATAGAAGGGGAGATGAACGAGCAGGGGTAACCAGAGATGTCGAAAAATGCCTTGAGCTAGCTAACCTGGCAGCTATCTGAGTACCCAATCGCTGTGACGATCGTGGAACGCCGGTCGTGTGCAATGCTCGGGTGAGACTTGAGCGTAATTGTTTAGCGCAAGACGCGCTGTTCGCCCCAAGGCTACCTGCAAAAACCATTGGGAGGCCAGTTCCTTCTCACTAATCAAAGTGAATCCAGCCGCTCCTACGAAAGAAAAATGAGTGTGCGGGTTAGTTCAGTATAACCCGATTGAAATTCGTCACATCAACAAATTAGTCAGCATAAAGTATTCACGTGGTCTGCATGTGATGTATTAGACTCCGGGATTAATAGATTAGTACAACCCTTTAAATATGGGATCTTCACAACCTGGTCGTGACCTGTCAAGTCTTACTAGTGCCACGTCTTGTGGATATGCTGCCCTCTATTGTTCGCATTGCACCAAAGTCGCACCACCTGCACAGGACATTCACTACTCCCAACCCCATCCCAGCTACCTTCCTCCGTGGAGGAACATCGAAAGGCGTATTTCTGAACAGGGCTCATCTTCCAGAAGATCAATCACAATGGGACCCCATCTTCCTGGGTATTATGGGCTCTCCAGATGCAGCCAATGGTCTCCAGATCAATGGCATGGGCGGTGGTATATCAAGCCTGTCCAAGATATGCGTCGTCGGCTCAGCCTCTGCTGAACAGCAGGCACAAGGCATTGATGCCGAGTACACTTTTGTTCAAGTGGGCATCCGTGATACCACTATCGACCTCTCTGGGAACTGTGGAAACCTTTCCAGTATGATTGGTGTATTCGCCATGGATGAAGGATTCTGTTCCCGATATCCTTCGGCTCTATCCGGAACCACCACTACCATTCGAGTTCATAATACGAATACAAATAAAACAATTGACACTACATTTCCTGTAGCCTTGGCTGGCGATAACCTACAACCAAAGCTAGACCTACCTCAAACCACAATGGCAGGGGTCCCGGGAAAGGCTTCACAAATAACCCTCGAATTTATCTCTCCAGCAGGTGCACGAACCGGTGAATTACTTCCGACAGGGAAGCCACTTGACTCCGTGAACACACTTGACCAAGAAATCCCAGTCTCACTCGTCGACGCAACGAATCCCACGGTGTTTGTAACATATACAGACTTGTGTCGCGTTCTTCGCCCCTCATCCCTCATTGATTTCTCAACCCCTGAACTGCGGGAATTGATGGAGTCCATCAGACGGGCAGGTGCAATTAAGATGGGCCTTGATCCTAACATGCAAGCCCAGCCAAAAATTGCAGTCCTGTCGCCGTCATGTGACCAAGATCATGATATTGGTATTCATGCCTTCTCGATGGGCGTATTGCATAAAGCCGTACCCATGACAGTCGGTCTGTGCCTTGGTGTTGCTGCGAAAGTTGAGGGTACGCTGGCCTGGGATTTAACCAAGTCAATGCGTCTCGGGAAGGTGGAGGAGAGCGAGTTCATCAGAATCAAACATCCGAGCGGCATCGTAGAAGTGGGAGCAGATTTTGCAGCAGATGGTGAGGTCTTGAAAGCGAAAGTAGTTAGAACGGGAAGGAGAATCATGAAGGGGGTTGTATGGTGGTAGATGTAAATATTAAGAGGAGAGCCTAGGAGCTTACGGTTTATGTTTATCCGCACTTAAGTCTTATGCATGCTTGCATAGCGCACCAAATTGATGATTTGCCTTCGATGCCCTGCTACGTACCTCAGCGTAGCCAGCAACTGCAAAAAGTGGTTCAGCTGAGGATCGAACTCAGAACCTTCTGTGTGTGAGACAGAAATCATAACCATTAGACCACTGAACCGTTGTTGCGTGTCCCCACCTTGACAAAATGAGGTAAGAAGTACTTGTAATAACCAAAATCATAACTACATTAACGCCTGCTCCCTAGTGTAAACTGACCTCTATTTCTTCGACTTGTCAGGTCCAAAGAAATTTAAAAGACCTCCACGTTTCGGTGCCTTCCCAGACTTGGCTTTAGTCCCGCGTAAAGAGTTCGTCTCCTTGATCTTTGAATTAGCCTGTACCGGCTTGTCCCCCGCCTCATCCTTGGACTTCGATTCTGCCTTTTTCTTACTTTTGGTCTTCTTCGCATCATCACGCGCAACTTCCACAGCTTCATCTTCACTAACAGATTCATACGAGGAGTATTCTTCTGTATCTGGAAAAAACCTGATGAGAAATGGTGCGTTTATCACTTTGGGATGATAAACATACGGGTATAGCCTTTGGCATCAGTGATAGTGCGATTTTTGATGACACGACGTTTCTTCAAACCATTGCGTCCGACGGGAACCACTTTCCTTGATTTCCTCTTTTTCGGTTCCTCGGGCACGGCTTCCTCTTCACTGACGGATTCATACGAAGAATAATCCTCCGTTTCTGAGAAAACATTATGAGAATAGCACATTTATCATCTGGGAATTGTGAGCATACGCATGTAGCCTTTGGCATCGGTGGTGGTGCGACTTTTTAAGATGCGACGTTTCTTCAAACCATTGCGCCCGACGGGGATTACTTTCTTAGATTTCCTCTTCTTAGCTTGGGGCTTGACGTCCTCCTCCTCTTCCTCGCCGAGACTAGATATCAGGGCGTCTACGTCAGTTTGGTCGACCTCGTCACCAGTATCGTCTACCTCAACATCGGGGCGATGAGAGGACAAGCGGGATGCCCTGACAACTTGGTCTGCTGGCTGATTAGCATAACATCAGGAATAGTCTGTGACAACGGACCATCGTCAATATCCATCATTGCCGCAAGACTCCTCTCAGAGTCTGAAGTGGACCGAGTGATATTTTTGTGTAACTTGCTCGGGGCTTCCTCATCCTCGTCATCCGACACTACGACACCTCTTTTCACTCTTGCATGATTCATTGCGGAAGGCATCGCCTTCCCGTCTTTGGGCATTGGCTTGTGTTCGACATCTACATCTGAATCTGATGGATCAGGCGATTTACGCTTAGTAGTTCGCTGGAGTCAAGTAACGATTGATTATAGACCTCCCTAGAAATATTATTACTGACGTACCTTTGGTTCGACTGCAGGTACCTTTGAGATAGGCTTCTTCATCGATTGCAAACCCATATCACTATTACCCGACGGTTTATCAGCCAATTTTGCCGAAGACGACGAAATTTTAGTATCTTGTCTAGATCGAGGCTCGGCCTTATCCTTGACGCGTGGTCCTGATGTGATCTCCTGCTCCTTACTCTTGCCTTTGCTCCAATCTAGTTTACCAGTCGGCTTGGGTTGCTCTTTTGTTGTAGCAAGTGGTTTTGCATGCACATTGTCCTTTGACACTTCGTTCCGCTTACCCTTGTCTGTCGTCTGCTCTGATTTTTGCGGTAAAATATGTGGTTGGGGCATGACTGGCTTTCGCGCATCTAACGTTGTCTTTGACGATGATGCTGCAGAGACATTTTTGGGCAGTCCATTCCTGATCTGTGTCTGTGTGAGATGGTGAAGAGGAACCAAGATATTGGATAAAGACCTTCACGTGTGCACTGATTATCTTCCCATTGAGCGCGGCATTGCCCTTTGTGTCTGCATTCCGGACATTGACAGTCGGTTGGCAAATCAAGCCGGCATCCTGGACAAACATGAGTCTGTTTGGTCTGACCTTTCATGAAGCACCTACGCGTAAGACTGAGGGTGACAAGCTGTATATATAAACGGAATGAATACGGGTGAATTGAGCTTTCGCGTCTGTGGCACACCGCTCTCGTTAGCGTCAAGACGCGTAGAAGAGAAAAAAACACGACCTTGCAGACCATCGCAGTCTACCAAAACTATCTTCGAGCGCGTTACAGATTGGTGTGCATTGTCATCATCGCTGACGTCCATTGCATCAAGCAGGCTTCCATTGGTGTGCAGTGGAGCGATTTGACCAGAGACCATGTACGTTGCGAATGATGGCGTGTCGGTGTTTGCAGTGTCCGCTAGATACGCGGCAAGCTCACTGTGTAAATGTAGTACTCCATTCAATATGAAGTTATCAGGGTGCCTTACTTTTTGGCGTCATTGACGTGAATATCGAGCTCGCGACTCAAAGACCGGAATGTGACCTGGCAATTATAATTACGTCGATGTTCAACGTTCAGAGTGCGCGTCCCTCATACCACATTTTTCTTAATAAACAGTTCTTTAGTGAGGAAGTCTTTGGCTCGCTTGGATGTCATGGAAGACGTGAAGTAATGAGTCGTGAGAATAATTAACACGGACGCGCGCTAAGTTCTAACAGAAACCAGCAGACCCAATAGCTGAGCAATGGCTTCTCTCGCTTGTCGACATAGCCCTACTCTAATAAATATCAATAACCTGAAGCTTAGCCTAAAGCTTATAACGTTTTAAATATGGGTCGCTTATCGTGGTATCCTCACACACAAATACCAAATAAATCCTATCATCATCCATCCATGCATCCTGCAACCACCCACCACTGGTGATCTTCCTATTTGATACTACCTCGACGTAAGGCATAGAGGATTCAATGGTCGAGTGCCAATGGGTGATATTATTCCATGATTTATCGGACCACTTGGAATTGGAGTCACTCGTGGTGGTCGATCGCTCTTTCACCATTCGTCCTAGACCCCGCCTATTCGCCACGGCCAGCGGGCTGAAGTCCATCATACACAACTTGTACATCTTTGACGTTATCTTGTCCACCAGCAAAACCCGATTCCTGCAGAGGTGAATTTTTGTTTTGTTTCTTGCTTTATACCTCAAAACACGAACATGTCCAGGGCCCCACTGAGTCCATGGTATTACCGCTGCTTGGTCGATGTCGAAGAAAATCTTCGTGGAGATGACAAAGATCTTTCGAACATCATCAATTAACGAGTAAACACATATCAGTCTGTGTTCAGGGTCTGAGGTGTACACCGACTGGGCTTGCGTCTGCATCTTCGGCTGTGAGCTATGATTACTCTCCAAGTTTACCAATGGGAAAGGCAACAGGAAACATGCCAGCAATTGCGGCGTCTTGGACGTATCCTCGATCGAATACAGCTTCAAATCTCAGGTGAAAACAACCAATCTGTCGTTTCCGAGAAAACAAAAACTGGCACTGGTGTACGTGCTGCCGCTGAGGGCGCTCTAAATTCAAAATCAATCGTCAATTCAAATCATTCCTGACTCAAGCTTGAAGACTCATGCTGGATGTTGTTGAGTGCTGCCAGTCCCAAATTTGCAGATTCCACGTCTGCGAAAACCTCGAAGTCTCACAGTCGTGCCACAAAGTGATATGCCTCCCATAACACTTGAGCTTCACATCAAATGCATACACGGACAGTTCCAGGTCCAGCGCTGGCCCAGCAGCGTGAGGGTGGACATGACCATCATCCAGAGTTGTTAGGTAAATGCAATAGGCCATGTTGTCAACAATATACATGATGCTGAACAGATTTTGTGCTGGGTCCATCAATATACACTTCACTCTCGGAGGAAATATTAATGGACACAATGTTCTTGGTGACCACTCGTGTTCGATTGTTTTTTGTGGAAGTTTGGATGGTATTGGGCTGATGGTGACCAAGTCGCTATGGTGGATCCACAAGTAGAGATGTTCACCAGTGAAGCATCTTGAGTTGATTGGTAGGGTGCCTGTTTGGTGTGCGTAGGCATTAAACTTGAACCATGTGTGGGCTTTATCTCTCAGGCGTTGTAAGCGCTTGGAAATAGGGGTGTGGTCGTCCATATTGGAGACGGGGAGCAAGCATTGGCCACTGAGTTCGACAATGTACTGGAGCTCTGAAGAGGACATGTATGTCTGGCGAAGGGCCTTACATACCTGTGAAAACCAGTGACTCAGTATAAGATTCTGTACAGGACGACGACAACGACCCACAGATGCGCAACAAAGGATATCTCTGCAAGAAAGGCAGCCTAGAATGTAAAACCGGAGTTCTTCAGCAAGGGACAGGAATAGTGATTTAGGCATTATTTCATGGTCCCCTCTCTTGACAGCGGGTCAACCATTCGGATTTGAGCGAGGGAGGTCAATTGAACAGTTGCGAGCCATTAGCAGCATAAGATTTCCAATTGGGTCAGCACCCCTGAGGCCTCCTCAAGTACTGATCTTGACATTCAACCTACTATGTGTGTAGCGGCCTATCGGTAATACTCACTCTGAAAGACAAATCGTGAATCGCTCACCAAATGGATGCATCATAGCGCTACGTTGAGTTAGCTTCCGAAAACACATTTAATTGACTGACTAAAATATTCGAATAGCTTTAGGCAAGCGTGCACCATTACCGATATTATGTAATTGTAGCTGAGACACTTCGCACTGGCACATCAGATGCATCATGCACAACTAGTTGCTTATTCAAGCTCAAGTTTCACCTACTAGTATAACAAAATGAAGCCCTGAACAGGATTCCTGTCTCTTGCTGAAGAAATCCTGTCTTACATTCTGAGTTTCCTTCCTTACTGAGATATTCTTCGGTGTACATCTGTGGGTCGCCATCATTCATGTTATCGTCATTTTAGAATCTAGATAGACATTCATAGACTGCTATTCTGATGATCCTCTTGCAGGTATGTAGAACCCTTCGCCAGATGTACTTGTCCTCCTCCGAACTTCAGTACATTGTTGAAATAGGTGGACAACGGTTGCTCGTTATCTCCAACATGGACAATAGCATACCTATTTCTAAGCGTCTGTGGCTTTTGAGAGACAAAGCTCACGCATGGTTCAAGGTTGACACCCGCCCTTCCGAAATAGTCCCTGTACTAAGAAGGGCAATGCTATCTCGAGACAACATTGTTACTGGTGGGCATTTCTGCTCGTGGAACCCACCAGGAGACACAGCCATGATCTTTCCAGTACTTCCAAAGCCCTCGCAACAGTCAATCCAGCGAAACTGGCTCCCAGAAACGTTGTGTTCGGTTCCATACTCACACAACCTTGATGTATTTATGGACCCAGCACAGAACCTGATCGCTGTTGCCTATGTTGTTGATCACAAGACAGTCTATATTAACCTTGGAGCCCTGGATGGTGATCGTGTTCACCCTCAGGCTGCTGGAGAGAGGCTTCTGTCAGACGATTCAGAAAACCGCTTTGGAACGTCAATTGCAAAGCTCAAAGGTTTTGGGAGGCATATCGCTTTGTTGTGTCGCTGGGACAATGAATATCAGATTTCGTTGGTCCTGGTGTGGCAGCTGCAGATTTGGGACTGGAAATACTCGACAACATCCAGTGTGAGCTTTGGTTTGAAATAGTTGAAAGACTTGATGGTTGATTCTGAATTTAGAGCGTCCTCAGTGGTGCAGTACTCAACAGATCCCCCTTTCCAGTTGATTTTTGTTTCCTTGGGAACAATTGATTGCTGGTTATAACCAATAACTTGAATCTCTATTCAATTGAGAACATGTCCCACACGCCAGAATTGCTGGCGTGTTTCCTGATGCCCATCCCATTGGAGTTACGGTGCCTCTCTCTGATAGATGATATTGGGTATGGCTCACAGCCGCACATGCAGGCCCAAGCGACGATGTGCACCTCAGACCCTACACATCGACTCATATGCCTTACTGTGCTTACTCGAGTTAGTACTCAAGTCTTCATCATTTCCACGAGGATTTTCTTCGGCCTTAACGGGATGGTAGCAGCAGCGCCAATACCATGGCAACATTGGGGCCCCTCAAATACTTGTATCTTTCAGTACCCATTTCATATCAAAATTCACATTAATGGAAACCGAGTCTTGTACATACTCCCCCGTTCGAATGAGTGAGTGGGAGGTCATTGAAAAGTTGCGAGACATTATAAGCATGAAATTTCCAATTGGGTCAGCGCCCCTGAGGCTTAGGGGAACAGCGTGATCCTGACATTGCATGTGACGGCCTATCGGTAACAATCAGTCCGAAAAGACAAATCGTGAATCGCTCACCAAATGGATGGCATCGTAGCGCTACGTTGAGTAAGCTTCTGAAAACACATTGAATTAATTGATTGACTATGCTACAAAATATAATCTGATCAGAAATGCACAAGTACTACATACACAACGGGACTGCGAAGTTCGAGGGTTAATTACAAGAATACCAATTATGACGAACCCTTCATGTCTGCGACTGGGATCGCCTCCATAAAGATTCCGTCGGTTCAGATGTGCAAAAAGCACGCGTGGTCTTCGCCCAATCCTCACGCTTCTGTCTGCAGGAAGCAAGATAGCTAAGCTGCGCAGGCGTGGGATGATGGGCGTGGAGAATAAACATATAGTCTGACATGTCGCTCTGTTGGACCACCGAAAATGCGTTTTCTCCGCTTCTGATAAATGCGGAGATATCAACGCAATTGTCTGGAGTAACCTGCCAAACAACTTCAGTGTGGTTTGCAAGTATATCGGTAACACTCACGAAAATGGGTGGAGCTAGTGGAATAATAAAATCCTTCCCATCCCGCTTTGTCTGCAGTGAAAGGTCCCCAGTCGCGGGCCACAAGCATTGCGAATCCATCGTAAGTTTCTCAAACGGAGTCGGCTGATCATCTTCCGGTGGATTTGGCAAGAGACTAGGGAGATGATAGCAAGCGAACGACACACAGACACTTTGTTCCAAATCTCTGTAAACCGCTGAATATGTGGATAAAGGCGAGAAAAGGACACATACGTTGGTGACGACTTGCGCTTAGCCCACCGAGCAATTTGGAGATAGAGTGTATGATCGAGATCGAACGTCAGGTTGATCGTCCCGCGAGGCGACTCGAGTCCTTGTCGAAACATCATCACAGCCATTTCCCCTCCAAATCTTGCACAAGCGACTTGCGGACAGGCATTATCTACTGGAGGTAACGATATCTCGTCTCCGTGGCTTTCTACACCCACATCTGAGGATATCGCAAGTGGCTGCCTTGGAGTTGGGGAATCTGTATTTTGTTTTGGCGACGGCGTGGTGAGCTCAGGAGCGACGTTTCCTGGCGTACCCGAGAGTGTTTCTGAACTTTGAGGCACATTTTCCGTTGGTGGGTCGGTCATAACAACATCAACTACAGCGGACGTGATTTCTTCTTCGTTGAGTTCTTTGGCAACTGTTGGTACTGAAATCTCGGAGAAAGGCAAGGTACTCGTCAGATCAACTGCATTCGCAGGAGCTGCAGGCTCGTTTATCGTCGTCAGTTCAGTAGATGCCGGTCGTGGAGGTATCCTCCCTGGCATGCGAGATGGCCGTATTTTCTCTACAGGGGGCTCCGTTACATCATTTGAAAATTTGAGCGCACTGGGTGGAACAACAGGACTTGAAGGCTTTGAATCAGGAGCAGCCGCATGTTGATGGTTTGCCTTGAACCATTCGAGGTCACGGTGTTTGAGGTGCTCAGATAGCGAAGATGCCACAGATTGGCGCTTTGGTTGAGGTTTTGGAAGGATTCTCGGGATGGAGGCACTGGCTGGGGGATCCGCGTGAATATCTGGGTGGGGTGTAGACGAGGTCGAAGGCTGCGCTGTAATCTATGAATTTATATGTTAGATCATGAATAAACAGCGCGTGTACATCTTACAGGTGATTGAACTGACTCCATTTGCGCATTGCTGGGAAACATTAGTTGTGTGCTTGGAGTCGCATCTCGGGTACTTGTGATGATTGAGGTAGCATCCCTAGACAAAATCATCATACTGATGCTCAGACTCAATAAATGCCAGCGTACTTGTATTCTTGAGTTGTGGCTTCGCTTTCAGCCCGGATAGGATATATAGAATTAGTCGAAATCTCAGAAGAACTTTGGATCAAGTCTTGGAGTCGGACTACATAAGACGATCGACACAGCTGGACACTTAGCGAGATTCAACACGTACGTTGCAGGTCCTCCTCTGTAAAAAACCGTAGGAAAGGAATTACGGCGCGAATTAAGGCCTGATATATATCTATCACAGCAAGTGCTGACGATTCTGTTGGGAGAAACCTTCTCGTAAAGGTCTGATGGGCAATCTGTCGAGTGCAAAATGAATGAATAGAGCAAGAATCGACGTGTCTACACACCTCGAGGAGCAAAACGATCTGATATTAGGGTTTGAAAGTAGTTTATTAAGCCTCGCTTCTGTCAAGCTGAACCAGGATTCCAACACTTACATTACGTAGAGCGTCAGGATAGTATGCTTTCTCGGAGCCCAACCAGTTCTTCAGCTTTTTTGCAGTGTTTATGTACTCGTTGAGGTCGTGTGATGCGAGCCTATTTGCAAAGACCGGGAAGATCTTCGCGTTGGCCACAACGGCGGTGTGTGGGCGAGAACTCATGATAAAGTCGTTGGACGCTGATGCATCTGTGAAATATTTAAAGGCTTAGACGGCCCACCAACCTTGTGGTGGTTTTATTGATTATCATACCAAAGGAATTCAAGTTGTGGGTGTCACAGCTGGGTGCTTGTAAGTTTAAAGCTATGACAGCTGCAGGACGCCGTATGTAAGTGGCAACAAAGGCAAACAAATTTATGTAAACGTCGTTGAAAATTCTGATATCTTCCTTGCTTCTTCGGTCCGTTCCACGAGACTACATGGTACTGAGGGTACGTTTCATTGCTCTGATGCACGCTACCTAGACACTGACGATTATATTACGATAGATCGATGTCTGTCTAGATTGAGCAGGCAACACCATGCTAGGCACATAGAATATATATAATTAGTGGAACACATCCCTATCTTCATTCAGGCGTGCTGCAGCTCTTGAAGCTCGTGCCTTCAGATGCGCTTCTCATATTCAGGTTGGTCGCGCAAATAGCTTCTATGTTTTACCAACGATCTGATTCTTATAAGTATGTAAAGAACCTATCGTAGACAGCGATTCATGTTGCAGCAGTTGTCTTGGTGGACATCGTGCGAAATGATCCTCATCTTGATATGCCCCACTCCTTCAATTGATGCGGCACATCGGTCATGCTAGTACCGCATGCGTATTTCCATGAGTGGTGCGTCACAAGACCTCGATATTCATCCTGTGTGCTCGTGGCTCATGTAAACGTTGCGTCTCGGATGACCGTCGTACGTACCTTTGACACGTCCGTCGGTTCCCAACGTTCAACGACATATTCAAATTGCCTGAAGTCCGGTGTGCGAATCGTGAGCACACGTATGGCTAGACTTCCTTGACGCAGTCGATGTTGATGCAGATGGAGTTAACAAACCGTGAGAAGAGCGGAAGAGTGCTGCGGAACCAATCTCTATCAGGCAGTGGTTTGATGAAAAAAATACCATACTGGATGCTTGCAGGTGGATTCGGAAGTTGATGCATCTGATGGCTCCCGCTTTTCATACTAAGCTAAGTATAACCACCAGTAAGCTGTGGGATTCTTTGGCATGCTGTATGATGAGTAAGCTGATCTCCGTCCTGGTAGCACTCTACATGAGTCAGAATAACATGGTTCTTTTCGTATATAACGGTGTAGATGCGGCAGCCAGTGGCAGAGTTGCCAACCCTGTCGTAACACCCTCCAGGCATAATCATACATGACCATTTCTGAGTTGTCAACGGGCATGCCACTGGATGCCGCTACTTTGATGTCGACAGTTTTGGAAGGCATCCTATATGGTGAGTATTACAATTGCTTACTCCATGGATCCTACGGTTACAAAACGCTGAGAGGTTTTCAGGCTTTTCAGTCCTTATGTTTATAGGTACCATATGGATATTCACCTACAAACGTCGCATGCGAGACGCCAGGCCTACTATTGTGGTTGCCACCCTGTTGTTCCTACTGAGTACTGTGGTTAGCCTCCCGCCGCTTGCAGACGATGTCATTTGCTGAGGTCTCCAAAGCACATGGTCGTATGCATCATTTACGTTGAAAACGGACTGGTGAAGTATCGCGACACGTTTCCGGGCGGTCCAGTGGCGTACTTCGCAGACCTTCTTCAAGCGATGTTTGTGGTGAAGAATGCGATACTTGTCTTGCAAACTCTTCTCGGCGACGGGGTAGTGGTGAGTTCGTTTTTTATCTACCGGCTGACACCCTTGTGGCTCATAGGAATCCCCATGAACGAAAAAGATATATCGATGTTACGTTGTTTGGCAATCTGCCCGCATTATCATCCTACCATGCATAATGTGGTGCGGTGTCGCAGGTTAGGTGGCAACTACAGCTAGGAAGCTGTACGTTCTAATTTTGTCTTCAAGTGTTTGGTGTCTGTATGGTCTACAGCATGTCCCAACCGGCTAACAATTCCACAAATTTTTTCCTTGGCGCGACCACACAATGGATCACGACATTCATTTCCTTCACAATGGCAACTAATTTGTTGAGTTCAGGTAAGCACACTTCTACATAATATCGAGTCCTCATACTAACTTGAATATATCCAGGGTTACTAGCATATCGCGTCTGGACGATCGAACGCAAAGTCTCTGCAACTCGTGCTACGAAAAACAACATACCCATACTGCGTGTGTTTGTGGATGCCGCTATTCTGTACTCTGCGGCGGTGTGCTCTTCGCTGATCTCTTTCGTTTGCTCGAGCAGTGGAATGTATGTTATGGCAGACCTGGTAATTCAGTCATTAATACCTGTTTTAAAAATGAACGAGCTTCAATCAACCACATAGGTCATCCCGATCATTCCGATCGCCTTCTATATGGTGTTTATTCGCATCGCGATCAGTCAAAACAATCCAACTTATGCCCCGACGGTCCGTGGTGGGATAACTGAGACGGAACGAAGAAATTCGCATTATCCTGTGCAGCCTTCGCACACTATCAAATTACACAAACAGAACAGTAATACTTCCTTGACCGATAGTACAAAAGTGCAAGGATAGTTCCACCTCTAGTGATAGCGAGGTGCGAACGCCATATCAAATACTTTGACGATTCCGACTTTGTACACCCTATTCTACGTAATTCTCTTTCCTTTTCCTATACTCTTTACCGTTTCACATTTTCACACATTTATTTATATCTCTCATCTCTCGTCCACCATCTCTAATCATGTATAAAAACCCGCATAAATTCTTCCAAAGTCTATCGATCCTACTCACCAAAGTTTCTCAAACTCTGGCCATCAGCTCTTTTCATTTGCGTTTCCCTTCAGACTTGCCGGCACTCGAGCGGTACGCGTTGTACTGTCCACTTTACAAAAGCTAGTGGAGTATACCAAGCTGGATGACTTCAGATATCTCTATAGGCGTAGTTATCCAGCTCAGTATACTTCTGTCGAGCTATTCTGACACTTCGAGTAAGCCTTCACGTAAACATTCGGGTCAGACACCTAGTACCCACCGAAATGACTGCCAAATCTGCCTTACTTCTGCAACCAACAGAAGTAACAAGCTTCAAATCCCATCGTCCACCACGCTTGATAGCAAATAAGTGATATTCCGATTGTCATAATAAGTACATCGTCCACATGTTTCCAACGTAGACCAGACCTCTCGCTGGTACCTGATATACATTACTTGGTATTGCACAAATAAACATAGCCCAGTCAGGCGGTGTTGAGTGTACAGGTCCCAACTTTCATCCGCAAAAAAGAAATTCAATATAGAATCGCATTTCCGCTACGCGGTATGATACGACACTTGAATGGCAACGGAAGGCTGTCAGGTTGTTATCAACAAAACATATAATAAGTGCATGAAATAGCTGCGAACCTCACAAAACTCGACGTATATTCAAGGACCACCTCTTCTTCGTTGCCGTCCTCTTTCAATGGCGGTCTGATTTCAAAAGTAGCCAGAAATTGACTGACGAATAAGAAGATCTGCAGGTTTGCAAGGCTCATTCCAGGACATATTCTTAACGTCTGCTCAGCAAATGCAAGACAACCATGATGTGTCGTTTGCCTACCTCTTTCCAAATCCAAACGTGAAGTCTCGGGGATCCTTCGCGCTGCTTTCATGCCCCAAAGGCAAATGACGCTCAGGCATAAATTGATGAGGGTCTCGGTAGATGCTCGCGTCGTGAGTCATTGCCCTAAATCAAGCATTGTGATTTCTTCCTCTCAGAGCCTAGTGGCTAACCTACCAAATGTTGAACATCACCCAGGTATCTTGGGGAATACGGTAGCCCTTGTACGAGTCGGTTTTCATGGGCGACCTTGGGATCATAGGTGTCACAGGATTAAAGCGATGAACTTCCCTTATTGCCGCATCGACGTATGGCAACGCAGCCATGTCAGACAGCAGGGGTAGTCTAGTAGACTCAGTGACGCTCGTAATCTCTCGGTAAGCCCTTTCTTGAACATCTTGGTGCGCCATCATCAATATCAAGAAGTCCATAAATACCGCGTATGTCTGTAAAAAGGTTCGCGCCGTTTCAAAATGTCAGATAACACAAACAACTTACAGTCTCTATTGCGGCTAGCTGTAGTGTTAGAGAATGTCTACTCCTTCATAACAAATTTACACACCTGTATAGATGCTTGATGCTGCAGAGATGAGCTCTTCTTCCTTATATTTTGACGTGCCTGCAATGATGTCGCTGAGTGCGTCGGGCACCATCCCCCTCATCTCAGTGCCGTCGAGCTGTGTTATGTTCGTTACAAGTAGGATACGATACAACAGATAAACGTACGATAGAACTGCGTGCCTGTCGGAAAGGTCGTGCAGTATACTCCATGAACTTTGTCCTAGCATCCCTCGCCCATGGTTTGAAAGCCATTCCAGGGAACCAGTCCGGTAAATACAATACTGATATATTCGATAAGACTGTGTGTGGTCAGAAAAATATGCTTTACCTAGAGGCACAGTATCAGCAAGCCAGCGTCCAGGCCGCAAAGCTTGTTGGGTGTGAAGAGAAATTTCGTCCCCCAGTTTGAGCTCATGATCTTCTACTTTTGTCCCGTATGTAAATCGAGTAATGAAAGACCCAAGATACCTTGGTATTCATAGAAAGACGTCAGTAAGTGACCGTGGTGTTAGATAGTATCCGCACCTTCGAATATGCTGCTTGAATAACTCCGGAGATTGTGCGATCTGCAGCATTAAGCTGGTAGTCTCTTCTTCAAGGACTGGACCCCAAGACCTTTGCGCCTTTGGATTGAAAGCACTTTGAAGGATCACCCGGGCCTTCTTCTGCCTGTCAGTATGATCCATGAATGCGATATTGTCTTGCCGTCCAGTGAGAGCCACCATTGACCAAGTCGGACGCCGGGCATAAAGTGTAGACTTCGTTTCCAACAGGTCCGTGGCCGCACTAGCTTCATTGACTATGAGGATGTCCCGACCAAAAGCATAAAGATATATTAATGGTCCTAAAAATAATGAGCTCGCAGTGTATCGGACGAGGAAGAGATCATACCAAATATTTTGGACCAGTTAACAAACTCTTTCCATGGATGCTCCCAAGGCAATATCTGCTCGTTTCCAAACCAAAACTTTCCTTGTGGACCTGCATCACTGGCGTCACTCTGTGCGTTCGGCACGGCACATTGAACAATCACCTGGGGGAAGAGGCAAGCGCCGGGATCTGGCAAAGGCCCAACTCGCCAAAGCCAGCGTACAAAAACACGAACAGAGACCTAATGTGAACATCTTCGATCTTCGGACATACGATAGCTTGAATGGGCCGCGTTCTTGTATTTATGCTCGGCGGTAGCCCGAGCGTGCCAGAATGTTTCGATCCTGGAACTTCCATCCGAGCGCGCTCGGGCTATGAGATTGATACGGCCGCATTGGTTTTAATTTGAGAGTAGTACCGGATTTGATGATGTGGCTGAACACTGAGCAACTGCAAGAGTACTCTACTAGGGTCCAGGGTCCATGATGGGTATACAGTATACTAGTTTCAGCAAACTTTTTTTTCTCCTCGGTCTCTGATTAGTCATTGCATGTCTGGACGGTCCTACTCGTCGAGCTCGTGGTCTTTGCACACAACATCCTCTGCCATTTTTTTTCGAGCTGTAGTGCCTATGGACGCTTTGGATCCTGCCTATAACCATTGACAGCAATCCCACTTCCGCTCTTTCCTAGGGCCTGCAGCCTGGCCATGCCGTAACCGCCGGTTGATCCTTTAAATTTTGGAACAACACTTCATCAAGACTGGGCGATACGTCCAGGCCAGGATCTATCGCCAGATCCTGATCACCGCGCTCGCAGTCAACCCTGCCTCGTTGTCTCTTCATCAACTCAGTCACCTCTATTGGTGCGCACTGCGGGTCTCATATTCTTTCTTCAGTGATTCCACTGCCATCCTATATCTACATATGGCATGTTCCTGCCATCGGTAGTCATAATTTTATTACATCCACATTAGGCGGCTTACACTCAGCAAATCAAAGACACGAAAATTTTAAGAAGTTGGTTCATGAAATATCGTCGAGGAGATGCTACACGTATTGGAGAGGGTGACAGACACGAGGAAGATGGTGAAAGCGCGCGGAGGAGTTGGGGGGGAGGAACTATTAATTTAGAGTGGCGATAAACGTTCAAGGGAGTGACTCCGCAAACGTGGCAAAACAGTTACACACAAGGGCGGTGAACTTCGGCGGCAACTTGCTTAACGAGCGGTGGTTGAACGATTTGGAGGTCATCATGTTGTCACCCTGTTGAGAGCCGATCTATGCACACTCCGGTACGTAGTGGCTTACTATTTTAGATCCAGATGTTTCTGATCAATCAGAGACGCGTAACCTTCTCTTGTTTCATCCACTCTTTTTGATCCTTATCGGACCGTCTGGGGGTACCGCGTGCACTGATTCGGAAGCTCAAACGCTCAAGCGCTCAAGATGCAAGCTGCTAGACTAGTACTGGTTCGTCGCCATCCATATCAGGTGATCTTTGATACTAGTCAACCAATATGACAAGTCAATATCATTCTAGAATCTAGTAATTGTAGGGTCGAGATCCTACCAGATCTTATCACGGAACTTGCCATCCTGTAGATGTTCTCATCAGACCAAGCATCACATCCCATGGCTATTTTGGTAATTGTGGGTTCACTAGCTCCGTGAACTGGGTCGGTATTTAGTGCCGCTGAAAGGCGTAGTTGGTCTTAGTCACACTGTAACTCAATCATCTCCGTGATCAAGATATTCTCGCGCAGATGCGCCCAATGATCATCGATCGATATCCAATCACGGTTCTAGCATTTCTCTCAGCGCCTGTCTCTCTATAAGAACGGCTTCGAGTCTCATTTCTCCTTACTAGCTGAACAATGCTGACCTCCGTCGATGGAATCAAAGGACAAGTCTTTGACTATATCATCATTGGTGCGCTCTGTATCAATTTCTGATGTAGAGTAACTCACCTTGCTTCCAGGTGGTGGAGTAAGAAGGATCATTCGCGGCTCTTAACTTGAAAACTGACCAATAGCGCCTAGACTACCGGTCTCGTTTTAGCGACACGTCTGTCAGAAAACCCATCGACTTCGGTGCTTGTCTTGGAGGCAGGCAGTGCTCATATCGATGATGCCAATCTACGTCAGTCTGTCAGAATACTCGTGAATTGTCCCTGACATCAAGTCTAGTGATACCTCAACAACGTTGGTTGTTTATGGGCAAAGCTGAATACGACTGGAACTTTAAAACTGTCAGTCTCTCCGACTGTAGGCTCGTGACCGCAACTAACCAGCGCAAAGGAAACACAACATCATGCCAAAGACAGAATATTCGCTTGGCCTAGGTCAGTTTGTCCTGCTTGACTCCGAAGAGTCATTGCTACTTTAACAAACGGCTCTTGTTTACAGGGGAAAAGGACTGGGAGGCAGTTCCGCAATCAATAATCTCCTCTGGAATAAGCCAGCGCGCCAGCACATTGAAGGCGAGCTTTATTTGCCTAGATCGACGCCTCCTTAACACACCAACAGCATGGGGTGCGCTTGGCAACGATGGTTGGACTTGGGAAAAATTTCAGGCATATTCCAAGAAATCTGAGAGGTCAACAATATCAATATGCTGAGGGCTGCGTCACTAATCACCTCCCAGGTTTGTGAAGCCGAACCATAACACGGATGTTTTGACGTATGATACAAAGCTTCACGGAGAGCATGGTGTGTCGCTTCGTTGATAGCATAATGAATCTTGCTCAACTTATCTCAGGCCCCATCGTCACGTCATTTCCTCCGCTTATTTCAAACCTTGAGGAAGATTTCAGGAAGGTATTGCTTGTATCCTAAGAATGACATATTCTATCTCACATCGCTGGCCAGGCAATGGAGGCTCACAATGTCCCGACTATTCAAGATGCGGTAAGTTCGTTGTAATGACACACTTGTACGTTCTGAAAGAAGTTTCGCATCCAGTTCTCCGGGGAGGTAAATACTTTATTCGCTTACGACCTTTTCCACCTAATCTTCACTCAGATCCGCGGAACATCTCCCACTCTGTCCAATTTGGACCCATCGACGCATCATCGATCTTATGCTACTAACGTGGGTGCCTCGAAGTTGTAATCAAAGTTGATACTGATCCGTCACAATCGCTCAGATGTATTATCAACCAGTTGCAGGCCGTACCAACCTAAAGGTCATCGTTGATGCCTATGTGACCGAGATCATTACAACGAAAGCCAATGGATTAATCACTGCCACTGGTGTCAAATTTGTCAAAAGCGACAATACCTACACGGCAAATGTCGCTGGCGAAGTGTGCCTAACGGCTGGGTAAGCCCTTTTTTACTATTTGAGTTGCTGCAACTAAAAACTTCCTCAGTACAATTATGTCTCCGAAGGTTTGAGTTCTTCATGTATAACTACCTTGATATGGAATAACTTTCTACTTAGATACTTGAAATGTCTGGCATCGGTGATCCCGCTGTTCTTCGACGGGCGGGTATTGATGTGAAACTTGACCTCCCTGGTGTTGGAACGAATGTTCAGGAACATCTATACACAGGAGTAACCTTCGGTGCGTCGCGGAATACCGACCCAGCGTATGGTCACTGACTCACCCTGACTCAGAGTTGACGGATCACTTTGCGGGCGAGCAGGAGGTCAATACCTTTGACTCTCTCGTCACCAATCTTGGCTTGCAACAAGAGCTGTTGTAAGCCGGTTCAATAGTCAATTGGATCGTACCGGCTGAACAGGTCATTGCTAGTGCATCTGGCAAAGGCACTTTGAACCTTAACACTGTCGAGATCGCATTCGTTGCGTTAGCTGATATCTCACCCGAACTCAATGCAAAAGTAATCGCATCCTTGCAAACTGAGGAGAAGGACGCAGGACTCGCCGCGCAGTACAAGATACAAGCAGAGCATCTTCGGGAGAAGGTCCCTAGTCTCGAAGTCATACTGGCTCCAGGACCCGCAAAGCGTATGTATCACTTGCGTCGTTGTATTTAGGCTGATTTTGATGCTTATTGCATTGCAGCACCCCTGCAGGGGTGGGATGCCTCGAAGAAGCATATTTCACTCTGTTTTGCAACCAACTGTCCGCTTTCTCGTGGAACCATAGTAAGTGGCAAATTCACCCATGAGTTCTTCGCCAATGCATTTGATAGCATGTTACATCCAAAGATTCGCTTGCGATTGACCCGCATGTTTTCGAGAATAGATTCGGTAAGGCACACTTTCCTCGTATCCGCACCACTCTAACACACCCTGTCGATCTTAAGACCTGGATACCATGGTTGAATTAGTCAAGTATTGCAGGAAGTTAGCTCAGACGCCTCCCTTGAAAGGAGAAGGAGAGGGCCGACTCAAAGGTAAGCGTTGTTTTCACACCTTGTGAAACAGACTCATACCGCATGCATTCCAGAAATTCATCCCGGACCGGACTGTCAAGATGATGCCGCCATCGCAGGTTCTGTCATGATTCAATTTTTGGAGTGAAATTGCTCACCTGAATTTAGAATGGATTTGCAACAATGTCAGCACGACCTTTCGTAAGTTCTCTCTGCATGGCTGCATACACAACGGTGCTTAATCATTGCATGTCAGATACTGCTGGTTCATGTTCCATGCTTCCGAAGGAATTGAACGGCGTCGTCGATCCTCAACTCAAGGTAATACTCGAACACAATCATTTGTCGTGTTTTAACCATGGACCTATAGGTATGGGGCACCCACAATATCAGAATCGCCGACTTGTCGATCATCCCACTCCATGTTGGCAGCCACACTCAATGTAAATTTATCGCTTATTGCTTCACTACACCTCCTAACATCATCTTTCCAGCTGTGGCATATGCTATAGCAGAACAAGGTATGCTCCGATTCTTTCTGAAACTTCTCGCTCTCATCGTGAACCGGTGATCTTAGCTGCGGACATCATCAAGGCGGCCCACAAGTAGTAGATGAACTCAGCTGGTTTATGTTGTACAATAACAATAGAATCGTAGTCACATGTACCAATAAGCATACGTCTTGAACAACCTTTTCAGAACTGTTCTATTTGGCACGTTCAAATAAATCGATTGTCATCAAGATGTCTTCAAGGCCAGCCTCATGCACCGTGGTCAGTCTTAAGTTCAGGCCCCGTGTATTTCTAGACACGACGGACACTATAGTATATCACAGATCACGATTCATAAGATAAGGATACACGGATCTACTCATGCTCTCGCTACAAGTTGCTGCGTCACTCACTGCCATTCTTGGACATCTCCCTAGCTCTGGCTTGGAGTTCTTCTGCGAGCTTCTCAGAACGGGGAAGTATACAAACGTGAAACGATTCAGGGAACCTTATCCATCTAGTCGTAAGTAAAACATTCAGGTAGTGCATGACCCAACTGACCTCATCATACCCTGTCTAAACGGCGCCCTCAAAAGAGAGTTCCTTCCATCCGATCCAACAGTCGGAGATATGACAAAGGTGGACACGAGACCAGTCACATATAAAAATACACTATTATCCGCAAAGAACCTGCCGGGACATATCCTTGAGGCAGATTGACATCAGAACATCAGATTAGTGTCGCCACTGCGCCACGCACCTCCTACCAAATCCAAAAGCGTATGAATATGGGTCCAATGCTGTCCTTTCGACGCAATCGTCAAGAAAACGCTCTGGTGCAAATTCGTCGGGAGAAATTCCGCTGATGTTATCCCTAGACATAGCCCTATAAAACGGAATGAGCACGCCGTAGAATCTATATGAGTTGCATAATGCTGACCAAACATTCGGAAAAACAATTGTTCCCTTAGGCACGCGGAACCCTTGGAAGAAATGACTCAATAGATGCCTGCTGATTCAAAGAATTGCGCGGACCTTGGTATACATCTTCCTTGCTTGTAAAATGAGGGAGACTTAGAGGAACCACTGGATTCCACCTCATTATTTCTTTGATGGCAGCATTCACATAAGGTAAGCGGGAGCGATCATCCAATGTCGGGAGTTGCCCATGGCCAACAACATGATCAAGCTCCATCCTTATCTTAGTTTGAATATCAGGGTACAAGGCCATGGCGAGAATGAAAGCCAATACTGTGCCCATGGTCTGCATCTCGAAACGTCAGAACATGTATGATCAATGCATTGAAATCTTGCCGTTTCACTACCAGCTAATGAGAGTCAATGTCAAATCGGAACGTCAAAGACTTCAACTCACCCCCGTACATCGAACCAGCAGCCCACCGTATTTGATGTTCCATGTCGGCAGCGCCTTCTACCTGAAGACAAGTAGCGGTGAAGGATGCGGTTGGTGAAGGCGACGAAAACTGTTGTTTCGCATATTCAAAGGGTAGTCCGACAACGCGAAGAAGGCGCGTGCGGCCCTCTGCAGCAATGGCATGAATGTTATTGAAGGGGACCCAAGAAGGGATATATCTGACTGGAACCATGCAGATGCTTCATATCAGCACTTCTGAGGACAGAATTTCACAAGATTTACTGACGCCATGGAAATATATCGACAGCGTATGCTCCTGGCATCATTCCTTTGCCTATAGTGGCCATCATAATCTCCAGTTCAGCAATAAACTAGAAGGGAGGTATAAGAATATTTGTAAGACAAAAGTCTATTGTTGACCAAGTAGAGCGCACAAACATTCATCGTCTCCGAGCTTTTGACTGGGAAACCATATGTCATGGACAACACAGCGCGGCCCGTAGCCCTTGAATTACCTTCTGTGAGCTGAAAGACGCTATGATGAAGTGCACCACTTACAACCGAAGCTGAGATATGAAGTCCCTTGGGTTCTCGACGAGACTGTCCAGAAACAACACGACAGCCTCCGTTTGCAGCTTGCTATATTCTTTGATTGCACCAGCATTCAAAGCCAAATGAGCAAACTTCCTCTGTTCTTTCCACGCAGCGCAATATCGAAGTAAAGCAAAGCTCTAGGCCACGCAACCAAGAGCGAAGTTAAAACACTAACAACGGCAGCATCCTAATACCACCTACTTGGCCAAGGCCCATGAGCTCTCCTAACATCATGGGTACCGGACGATCGGAATACGATTTCTTGGATAAAAGTTCGTTAGCATGTTCGAAGGAGCTCAACACCATGATCCGTTGTTGCAATGCCTCAATGTAGATGATGTCGCCTATGAGAAGAATGTTTGCCGAAAGTACTTTGTATGAAATGTCTGGACAACTAACCATACAAGCTTTTCCATTCTGCGAATACCTTTGCCATGTCAACTAATGGAATATCGAAGAGGTTTCCTATGATTGGCATTTTTTTGGGACCAGGAGGTAACGGTATGAACTGGTGTATGTCCTTTGGCTCGCATTGTCTGAGTCTTTTGCGAACGACTTGGCCCAAATAGACAGCGAATGCACCGGCCAAGCAGGTAAAACCTACTAGTATCAGCTTGGAATACATGTGAATGGAAGTAAAAGCTGAAACACTTTGAAACAGCTTGATGATCCCATTCAGCCTAAATATCACCGGTGCACCGCCGAAACCTAGGCTGTGCGGGTGTCATTAATATCGTTGAACGTTGGGAAAGAGTTGCTTTGGGGTTCCGAACAGCGAAGGCACTACGCGGAGTAACAATACTAGCCCAATTTGAGCCCAGTGATTCAATTACATATGGCATATGCATGTCCCAAAATGGGCCATGCCTAATCAATTACCAACTAAAAGGTATCACCGCTCATACAGGATCCACAAAATGGTGTTATGTGGGGCGCCGTGATCTGATACTGATGCAGCTGGACTCCGAGCCACATCAGCTGCGGTACACCGGGCGCAACTTTCTATTTTCAAAGTGTCTGGGTTCACACGAGCGCGCCTTCAAGTCACTGGAGTTTTTTCCAAGAGCGTTAGTATCGAGTCTCAAGCTCCAGTTCGAACACTGAGAGCGCAAAAGCTCCGAGTTGGAACAGGTAACATTAATTAAACAACACCGAGTACTAGTACCGGAACGAAGAACTACTAATCAGAAACCGAAGAGAAAAAAAGTATGCCGAAACTAGTATACCCGGGCCCATCAACCGGACATTACCAGTACTCTTGCAATTGCTCACTGCTGTTCAGCAACATCATCAAATCCGCCAATTGATTACAATATTAACGTTATCACCGTGACGGTGGTACTACTCTCAAAATCAATGCGGCCGTATCAATCTCATAACCTGAGCACGCTCGGGCTACAGCCGAACATAATATAAGAACGCGGCCCATTCAAGTTATCGTATGTCCGAAGACCGAAGATGTTCACATTAGGTCTCTGTTCGTGTTTTTGTACGCTGGCTTTGGCCAGTTGGGCCTTTGCCAGATCCCGGCGCTTGCCTCTTCCCCCAGGTGATTGTTCAATGTGCCGTGCCGAACGCACAGAGTGACGCCAGTGATGCAGGTCCACAAGGAACGTTTTGGTTTGGAAACGAGCAGATATTGCCTTGGGAGCATCCATGGAAAGAGTTTGTTAACTGGTCCAAAATATTTGGTATGATCTCTTCCTCGTCCGATACATTGCGAGCTCATTATTTTTAGGGCCATTAATATATCTTTATGCTTTTGGTCGGGACATCCTCATAGTCAATGAAGCTAGTGCAGCTACGGACCTATTGGAAACGAAGTCCACGCTTTATGCCCGGCGTCCGACTTGGTCAATGGTGGCTCTCACTGGACGGCAAGACAATATCGCATTCATGGATCATACTGACAGGCAGAAGAAGGCCCGGGTGATCCTTCAAAGTGCTTTCAATCCAAAGGCGCAAAGGTCTTGGGGTCCAGTCCTTGAAGAAGAGACTACCAGCTTAATGCTGCAGATCGCACAATCTCCGGAGTTATTCAAGCAGCATATTCGAAGGTGCGGATACTATCTAACACCACGGTCACTTACTGACGTCTTTCTATGAATACCAAGGTATCTTGGGTCTTTCATTACTCGATTTACATACGGGACAAAAGTAGAAGATCATGAGCTCAAACTGGGGGACGAAATTTCTCTTCACACCCAACAAGCTTTGCGGCCTGGACGCTGGCTTGCTGATATTGTGCCTCTAGGTAAAGCATATTTGCCTGACCACACACAGTCTTATTGAATATCTCAGTATTGTATTTACCGGACTGGTTCCCTGGAATGGCTTTCAAACCATGGGCGAGGGATGCTAGGACAAAGTTCATGGAGTATACTGCACGACCTTTCCGACAGGCACGCAGTTCTATCGTACGTTTATCTGTTATATCGTATCCTGCTTATAACGAACATAACACGAAGCTCGACGGTACTGAGATGCGGGGAATGGTGCCCGACGCACTCAGCGACATCATTGCAGGCACGTCAAAATATAAGGAGGAAGAGCTCATCTCTGCAGCATCAAGCATCTATACAGGTGTGTAAATTTGTTATAAAGGACGGGTCATTCTCTTACACTACAGCTAGCCGCAGTAGAGACTGTAAGTTGTTTGTGTTATCTGACATTTTGAAACGGCGCGAACCTTTTTACAGACATACGCGGTATTTATGGACTTCTTGATATTGATGATGGCGCACCAAGATGTCCAAGAAAGGGCTTACCGAGAGATTATGAGCGTCACTGAGTCTACTAGACAACCCCTGCTGTCTGACATGGCTGCGTTGCCATACGTCGATGCGGTAATAAGGGAAGTTCATCGCTTTAATCCCGTGACACCTATGATCCCGAGGTCGCCCATGGAAACCGACTCGTACAAGGGCTACCGTATTCCCCAAGATACCTGGGTGATGTTCAACATTTGGTAGGTTAGCCACTAAACTCTGAGAGGAAGAAATCACAATGTTGGATTTAGGGCAATGACTCACGACGCGAGCATCTACCGAGATCCTGATGAATTTATGCCTGAGCGTCATTTGCCTTTGGGGCATGAAAGCAGCGCGAAGGATCCCCGAGACTTCACGTTTGGATTTGGAAAGAGGTAGGCAAACGACACATCATGGTTGTCTTGCATTTGCTGAGCAGACGTTAAGAATATGCCCTGGAATGAGCCTTGCAAACCTGCAGATGTTCATATTCGTCAGTCAATTTCTGGCTACTTTTGAAATCAGACCGCCGTTGAAAGAGGACGGCAACGAAGAAGAGGTGGTCCTTGAATATACGTCGAGTTTTGTGAGGTTCGCGGCCGTTTTATGTACTTATTATTATGTTTTACTGATGACAACCTGACAGCCTTCCATTGCCATTCAAGTGTCGTATCATACCGCGTAGCGGAAATGCGATTCTATCTTGAATTACTTTGTTTGCGGATGAAAGTTGTGATCTGTACACTCAACACCGCCTGACTGGGCTGTATGTTTCTTAGTGCAAGACCAAGTAATGCACATCAGGTACCACCGAGGGGTCTGGTCTACGTTGGAAACATACTTATTATGACAATCGGAAAATCATTTATTTGCTATCAGAATAGCTCGACAGACGTATACTGAGCTGGATAACTACGCTTATAGATATCAACAGACGGCTGTCATCCAGCTTGGTATTGGTGGACGAGAGATGAGAGATATAAATAAACGTGTGAAAATGTGAAACGGTAAAGGGTGTACGAAGTCGGAATTGTCAAAGTGTTTGATTCATGCGGCGTTCGCACCGGTGAAACTTTTATCACCGCTCATACAGGATCCACAAAATGGTGTTATGTAGGAGCGCCGTGATCTGATACTGATGCGGCTGGACTCCGAATCACACCAGCTGCGGTACACCGGGCGCTACTTTCTATTTTCAAAGTGCCTGGGGCTCACACGTGCGCGCCTTCAAGTCACTGAAATACTTGGAGTTCTTTCCAAGAGCGTTAGTACCGAGTACACATCCACTTGACAGAAGTTCACGACGCCTACTAATCACGCGTCACATCTCAGACACTGATGAATTCCTCAGCCTGTACTTTGCCAGACAGTTTCGAGCAATTTTGCAGCGATCAATCAGCTTCTACGTTTTGTTGGAATGTCAAGGTTGATAGTGACTCAACCCTCTCAATTTCTGATAGAACGAGGGCAGACTTGATCAAGGACGCTACTGCAACTTCACAACGGTTCTTACATTCCGGCCCTTCACGAAGGCGATGCGGAGCACCACTAGTCAATGTATGTTTCTTCGCGCGCAGTGGCTATGATCTCTTTGTGGGGTTCCTCGCTGCCTTGCTAAACAGATGGACTGTGTGTCTAAACTTTCTTCTTACCTGCGAATAAAGTCTGATCATTCCAAGCCGACATTGATATCTGACAAGAATAGTCCTGAAGGTGTAATACACCTTGTTCGTGCCTCCGGTTCTCAGTGTCTTTTCGTTGACGCTACTCATCCCGACCTCGTCGATCTCGTACAACGCCAAGTCCCAAATCTTCAAATCATTCCTCTACAGGGCGATGATGGGACGACTCTACAAACCCCCGTCACTTACCCTCCCATCAATCAAGACCTGGACTTAGACCTAGATATGGTCGCGTATAATCTTCATACTTCAGGATCAACAGGTATGCGACATCGTCTCTCTATGTCAATCTAACCTTCGAGATATTGCAGGACACCCCAAACTGATACCAATTACTCACAGACAGTGGTACGACCAAACCATGCGATTGACACCATTTCCGGGCCGTGTAGTGTGCACTCCTATGCCTATGTTTCATGTAAATGCATCCATTGAGGTCTCATCGGTTTACTCATGCGCATCTGCAGACGGTGGGGCTTACTTGCTTAACCAAGTTCACTATCGGTGCAGGCTGCATACCGGTAGTGATTGAATCCACGCGACCTTGCACAGGAGAATTACTGTGTCATATTCTCAGCCGATTCAATGGTGCAATTTGTGCTACCCCTCCGTCCCTACTTGAACAGATCTCCTTGATGGGAGAAGGAGCAATACAAACACTCGGCTCTACACATATGGTCTTGTTTGCTGGCGCACCGCTACAAGAGCCTGTTGGTAACATATTAGCAAGTCATGGCGTGAATATCATTTCGGCCTTTGGAACGTTAGTGTCCTCTGCTAACCATCGATGGCGTTACTTTCTGATCTTTGAACACAGCACTGAGACCGGACAATTAACTGTGGCAGATATCAGCTCTGATGATCCCCTCGACTGGCCTTACATCCGATTCATCGATCCATCTGAAATAATATTGGTGGATGTACCAAATGCCAGTGATCTGCGACGTTTAGTTGTCAAGGTATTTCTTTTCAAAAAGTTTAACCTGGCTTAATTTGACCATACTGTCCAGCCAGGCCGTTTTGTGTCTTCTGACCTAGTCAATCATCACGATCCTATTGGCTTCAGCCCTGGAGACCTATGGCGGGAGCATCCAACAAGAAAAGGCATCCCAAATAATTTTCACGCAAGTTACTTCATTAACATGACTGTACAGGGCTCTGGAAACACGCAGGAAGAATGAGTAGTGTGGTTAGTTGAGCTTCTTTTTGAGGGAATGTAGCACGCTGATATCTCTTTTCTAAGACTGTGCTCTGTAATGGAGAGAAGACTGACAACGAACAGCTTGGTAGGGCGTTTCATGATCTCTTGAAAGGTCAGGTAGCAATTCTGAACTTCGATATAGAGTCACTTGTACTCAAGAATTCCATCGTGGAACGCGCGATTGTATTTGGCGAAGGGCGTTTGCAAAATGGGCTGCTTGTTCTTCCCAAGGCAATATCCTGGAGCAATCCTGATTTTGCCACATCCCTACGGTCAACCATTCAACACATGAATTCCGTCATTCCAAAGCATTCTCGCGTCGTACAAGCTCTCGTTATCCTTGGAGATCCGAAAAAACCTTTCGGTCTGACAGACAAAGGGACCATCCGACGCCACGAGACACTCGCTCTTTACTCTCAAGAGATCCAGGAAGCGTATGCAGCTCTGGACTCTGGGTCTCCTTTTAGACCTCTGCCATTAAAGGATGATTATAAGGGCGTTCTAATGTATATTCAGGCAATCGCAGCCCGTGTACTTGGGGTGGAGGTTGCTGTTGAAGATGACCTTTTCTCCCGTGGTTGGTATTCTTGCAATTTACATGATAGCTAGCTCATATCTTTCTAGGCATGGATTCCTTATCAGCGGCGAATTTTACAGCCTACCTAACGCCACTTTGGAAACTCGTTAGGGACACAGAATTACCTCGTAATATCGTCTACAAATATTCATCCATCGTTAGTCTGCATCAAGTAATCACCGGGAGAATATCGCACAACATGCATCGTAATAATGCAGAACACATAGATGCGATCATCAAGAAGTGGACGTTTCCGAACCCTGCTCCAGCCAGTCGTTTATCGTACTTGGAACACACATCCAGCAATATGGACGACGATCGCCTGATTGTGCTCCTCACAGGATCAACAGGCACGTTCGGCAGCCACGTTTTGTCAGAGCTCGTACGGAGGGAAGGAGTCCACGCTGTTTACTGCTTAGACCGCGCGAATCCTCGTTCGTCGGGTGCCCATACTCAGCGAATAAGATACGAGGCTGCGTCAGGCAAAGGAGACACGAAGGTCGAATCTTGGTCTATGAATCTTGGAGAAAGCGACTTTGGTTTAGATTCGGAAACCGTCCAGAAGGTCAGTATCTCGAATCTTGGGAATTTCAGCTCTGATAAGTTGCAACGCGTATCAGATCCATAGAGACGTTACCCACATCGTTCATTGCGCATGGGACGTGAATTTCAACCACGAGTTGGAACATTTTCTCGACCCCCATGTCCGTGCCCTACATACGATGCTCGAACTATCTGCTTCTAGCGTTCGCACAAAGGCACCACGCATCTTTTTCATCTCCAGCGTTTCTGCTGTTGCGAACTACTCGGGGCCCGAACATGCTGTCCCTGAAGTTCCTTTCAACTCGTCGAGTTTACCACTCGATCAGGGTTATGCGCAATCGAAGTATGTTGCAGAAAGGGTTCTAATTGATGCATCTCGAGCCGCAAATATACCAGTAACGATTGTGCGTGCTGGACAACTCGCTGGCAATACCACGCTAGGCGCATGGAATGTGATGGAACATATTCCTATTTTCATTCAGGCTTGTTTCTCTCTGAAGCTTATGCCCTCTCAGATTCCGGTTCGTCATTCAAATAACCTCCATACTCCATCAATGATCTGATTCCTATTATAGAACTTGTCATGGACGCCGATTGATGTTGCAACAGCCATCTTGGTGGACATCGTACTAAAGGACCCTCACAGTGATGTTACCAATCTTTTGGTGCGGCACATCGATAGTCCCAAAGAACTCGCCAGCTCGGATTTTCTACAATGGATGGTTGAGGCATCGGGGAATTCGATAGTTCTCGTATCCAACGAGAAATGGCTCAACTCAGTGCGAAATAGCCCGATGGTCTTGAAGGCGAAGCAGCTTCTACCATTCTTCGAACAATGGCTGTCCAATGCAGCTCAATGCAGGCATCGTGTACTCAGCGTACAAAACACGAAGCTTTTGTCTGAAAGCTTTTCTCGAACACACATAACCCCAGAACTCTTCGGACAGTACGTGAACTTCATTCTCAAGTCAAATGGTTCATCGAGTAGTGTATAAATAATGTACATCGGTCTGGACATGCAAATTTTCGAATTAGAATTTGATGATCTGGTATGAAATCCGGAAGAGCATTGTGATGTACATTTATGGCGATTTTCTGAACACTGGAGTGGATAGCACAGCTCATGAGAGCGAATGGCGAATGTCGAGTTTAGGCTGACAGGCCAGCCTGCAAGTACGGGATGGGAACGGCGGGCTAATGAGGGCACGCCTCACATCAGGGCATTCGCAATTTCGGTACAACAAAGGACACCGGGGTTCCAAGTAGAATAGCACGTATTGCCCTACACAGGATACCCTCCTCAATGGACACAAATGTAATATATATTAAAACAGTACGGGATGGACACACGTACTTGTTAATTACCACCGGCTATCTTTTAATGTTTCAGCCTGCGCTGTTTGAACAGGTATTTGTTTACGGTTGACAGGACTTCTAGGCTGTAGACACAGCACGTAACAGTGGTTATGCTGGGTAGCTAGGGGACGGACGATATGATAGGCCGGGGGGTGACGACTATAACAAGATATGATGAACCGACTAAAGTTGGGCGCCAGACAACGTGGTATATTCGGTATATTATAATAACGGACAATTGGGGCAATAAAACTAAAACTAAGGTCAATAGCTCGGAGTAAGTATCTACATATTATAAGTATGGACATTGGTATATAACCAAACAGTGACGGGAAAGAGTATTTTACATAGTGTCGTCAATGAACGTTTCATTCTTAAAGTAGATTTGAACTGCAGCATAATTGAAACCATGGAAGTGGTTATTTGAGGAAAGGGTCCTGATACTGGAGGTACCGCCAATAGCCTGGCAACATGTGCACTGCCGACAACCACACCTGACAAAATTTGAGCGCAGAGGCGATACGTAGGTGAGTTGGGACTAACGTTGTATAGAAGGAATGATGTTTGGTCCGCTGCCCTGCTTCTCAATAACAAGAATCGAACGCCGATCAGCACAGAGAAACACAGAAGCAGGATACTGTAAGCCCAAGTCAACTCCCACACGAAGCTGACAGCGATCGACCAAAATGCAAGAAGTGGCAAGACCGAGGCACGACCCAATTGTGGTGACACGATCGGTAAGGTCATTCTGCCGGTTAATCTGTCTCCTTCCTCGTCTTTGAAATCTTGGGTATGTATGGTGGTAGCAAACACTGCTGTGCTTATCGCGACAGACAGACATGCTGCAGCGTCCATGTGCGACGCATCACAGCCTTCAGTATTCATCAGCCAGTGTGTATCAGACCGGAAAATACATTACTCGCCTGCGATCAACGTTCCTCCTATTTCAAACGAAGCAAAACCTATAGCAGTTACAACGTTTTTTGTGAGCCAGTGACGGTGTGCTTGTAGTTCATTGTATAAGATAGTAAACAGCACGAGAGCCACGCTAGAAAATAACACAGGACCACCGTGTAAGATGGATATGATCCAACAAGCTGGTACTAAGCCCCAGCGAAGAATGATGGCATGCCTCAGCGAGATTAGACCGGCTGGCAGTGGGCGAATGGGCTTGTTTTTTGCGTCTTCTTCGACATCTTGTATTTGATTGGATGTGTCGAACTGCAGGAGATGCAAAAATATCCACCAAACCACTGGAACAATGCGATGCGGGGTGCAAAGGGGAGCTGAACTGACACTGAATATCGTCTGCAAGTAGGGTACAATGTGGGATTGATCAGTGTTGAACTTCACTACGAATTAATGATCTACGATAGGAATTAACGTAGTTTTTATGTCTGACTTGACAAACAGAAATATTGTCAAAAGCATGCCGAATAATGTATCACTTCGTGTAAAAGCGCTGGTCTGCATCGTGGCTAACCGACGGTTCAAGAACAAAGCATCAACAGTGCAGCTTAAAGTAATTTGTAGTAGCCATGAACAGGGCTGTACAACTACGCCTGTTCGCTTCTTTAGGCTGATAAGTTGCTAGTGACGACTCACCAATGCCATCACGATTATGGCAAAACCTTTTCCCCCACCTATTTGGCCGCATCTTGATCGACCGGGGTGTACCATGTGCAAAATAGCCGACTAGTTGCATGCCAGCCAGTGTGAAAGCTCGTGATAAAATTTATGCGACGGGTTGGCGCCGCTTGCAAGGGCGCCGGACCAACTTAAACGGATCAACGGTCACTTCGAAAAGCGAAGTGGCGAAGCACCTAGATAGAAAAGTGTGAGTATTCTTACGGTAGTAGGCTAGTACGAATATTGTAGGGATGAAATTTGACGTACCCTTTGACTCAGATAGTAAAAGACTGTGGAAAGTGGCGCGGGCGGGCCATAAGTGAAAACGGAATGTGCCAAAAACAGGAGTAAATATATGCAAAGCTACTCTCCGGCGTTTCGCAAACACAACATTCAGGCCTATTAACAGGCTAACATCGTTCTTGTGTTCTGTTTTTTTTTTTTTTTTGCAAAGGTACTTAAGCTATTTTTTGAAGCCTGCTTGCTTATTTCACGTATTGACGTTTAGCGAACAAAAATCGCATTCTGATGTGTGTATCGTCAGTATCGTAATGGCGAAATGACTTCGGGATCAACATGGTACTACCATCAGAACCCGATGGCATGATGACGAGAAGGAGAGCACTTGTACCGAGGAGTCCATTAGAGTGCGTTACGTCAATTGCAGCCTTCATGCACATGTATTGCTTTTACCAATGAAGATAGAAAGGAGATGGCCTCTGCAGATAAATGGTATATATGTAAGGCAATATAACTTTTTCACCAGTCCTCGGTGGAAACGAGTGGCCGGCCGCAGTTCTGCAGTCTGTGCTGATATGAATTTGAAACATCATCACTGGGGAGCTCAGAGATGGGACCGCGGATGTTCCTGTAAAGGTTTCAGCGACTATCCCCATGCTGAAAGTGAGCAGGTCACGGAGACGGTGAACCAGATACTTCTGGCGTAATTTTTGTCCTACCGAGAATATACTCCATGGAGGACAAATACATGACCCCCGGTGCCTTACGCATCTCTCAACTCATGAATGCCCTCGTACCCCCATCAGCCCTCCGTTCATGTTAGAGCGGATATAGGTAATCGCCATATAGGGGCTCCCCCTTGTAGAACGTTGTTTTGGAAATTCAGCTCACAGCATCGCGGCTCAGCGCTCAATTTCCTTCGCTGGTCCTTTTATTCTATTCTACTCCGACACAAGCGATACATCTATCTTAATCAAATCTTAGCCAAGAACACACTGAATTTCAAAGGACTTGCTACTAATGTAAGTGGGATAATTTTACCGAAAGAAACCCCATGGGAAATAAACTCTTACAGAGAATATAGAGCTTATCCCTCGACTCTGGTAGAGGTTTTCAGCTAGGCTGTCCATTAGGAACGTATGTACTGATAAAATTAAAAACTTCATCGACAACACTATGGAAACGTCCTTGGGAGCGAAATTGGTGCATTCATATTAAACAAGCGCAGGTGCAAACTGAGACCTGGCGTGTAATATCGGACCATAGCAGTGTTTCAAAAGATGATTAATCACCAGATTCTCCAAAGAAAAATCAGATGCAAACCGTTTCAGCACAATAGGGATGGGAATCATCAAGCAGGCAATACAGCCAAGTAAAGTCGAAGCCCATCGTGGATCAAGGGCAGTGTACATCTGGGACGCAAATAGCTGCAAGAGAATCATGTACCAACTGCCAGTGCTACAAAAGAAGAGACGTACAGGAAACACTGCGCCTGCAGCACTTCTAAAAACAGTGTTCGCAGCAAGGGCAGATGCAGCGGCAATAAGATAGACGTCTATACAAAACTGAGTAAATGAGGAAAGAAAGAGTTCTCATCGTACCGATGATATAGTTGAATAATGCAAGCTAGAAAGCGCAATCAACTCATTAATGTATCAAAATTGATATGAATGGAAGTTCTTACAAAGATCCAAATTGAAGAGAGTCCCATTAAAGCACCTGCCATCATTGGTGTCCAGTATGAAATGGATGGATAAGATGTCTATCTATAAAGAAATGCGAGTCTGCAAAACCATTTGGATGTCAACTGGGCTTACCTGAACCAAAAGAAGGTGACGGCGAATAGGGGTGCGCCAGACATAGCCAGATTAAGACATATCTCTGGAGAAACCAATCCTGCTTTGTGCTTATCCATCGCTGCCTCATACTGAGGGTGAAATATCAAGAGATACTAGGAAAAGTCAGATGAGGGTGAACGGCAAAAAATGCATGACTCCCTCCAAAAACGCCCGTTATGCTGCCCGTGACCAGAGGTAGGTAAGTCAACCCCAACACCCCTAAGGAACAGATTAATACAAATCGAGTCTTAAACGTAGCAAAATACCTGGCTGAAAGCCGTGTCCTACCGTGAACACTACAGGATATGCTTTGAACAGCAGGTATACACATCCATAGACGAACTACACGACAGTCAAGTCAAAGTAGATGGAAGAGATGAGAGCTTACACTCATGTAAGTGGTGACTGCGAATCGTCAATGCAGCTACCTCTTCGGAGAGCTTGAACTGAGCCATAAGTTGGGTAGCAATGCCAGAAGGGGCCGAGGAAGCAAATGTGCTAAATTACATCATTAATGTCATTTGTCGGGTTGCAGCGTTGAAGAGGAAGAACTCACACATTAAAGCCCAATAACCCCGCAAAATATGTCAGGTACCAACGTTTCCGTCTGCTCCAGTTCTGAAGTTGGTTGTTGAACATTTTTAGAGCTTGCACGAGGAAGCTTTAGATAGATGGCGGTACCTTTGGATTTTCCTTGTCGTCTGGTGCAAATTGTACCAAGTAGGGATCTACTGATGTGACGTTGCCTTGTGCCATGAATATGCGAGTTACTCGATGAGTCTAGTTGAGGCTGGGATATGAAAGGTACACCTGCCAGCCGTCAAAAGCTAGCGCTGAATACTGGTGGGTATGAGGCACTGAAAGAACGTTTGAAGTTTGAACAGCCCTGGCAGTATCATCATGGTATTACTAGTACTATTGCATTTCAATTCACAGCTTCGAAGCAAAAATAGTTTGTCATACTGCACCTTCTTGAAGAGATCAGCTATACAAAAGGAAACAGTAACACCGTCCCCGGGATGGGAGTGGCTTTTAGTCATGGTGCTTGTGAAATGTGGTACACAACACAACCGTTGTTGCCAGTGGGTCCATCACCGAAATTCTCGAAATCTGACGCTGCCTTATTTGGACAATTTCCTGCGCCACAAGCGTATGGGCAATGACATATCAAGTTTGTACTATGTCAGCGCAATAGGAAGTTTGTGAGACACACAACAGTTGATCCGTGTGCGTGTAAGGTCGCCATCAGTATGATGTACTTCAGGTAAGTTCAGACCATCTGCATGTCTCCCAGATATGTTCTGACCTCATATTCGCCTAATACTACATAAAAAAAGTCAAAGTGCAGCATATCCTTCCTGAGCGAGTATATCATTGTCAAGCTCCTCGTCCAAGTCTGCAATCACTGCATCTGGATCGTCTACTTCGTCCTCATCCGCCTCTACATCTGAATCATTCTCTTCCTCATCTTGATGTCCCTCTCCCTCTTCTAGGTTGTCCTCTCCATCCTCAAAGTCTAAACTAATGTTATCATCATCAGTTCCACTCTGCGCTGCAATGGTATTGGGTGCGCCGTCGGACAGCAAGAGCTCATCCCACTCTCGCATCACCTTGTGGCCTACACCGCCACCACGGAAGCGCATGAACATGTCACGATCTACGAACCTGTTAGTTTGAGTCAGCATAAGGTATCATTAGAATATAGATAAAACATACATATTAACATAGAAATATAACCAGTCTTCATCCCCCTCTTCTTCACGACGAGCAAATGATGGCCCAAGGTATTTCTCTGTGCGGCCATAAGCATATGCAGGGATTAGATGCACCCCACAAATAACTTGGTTGGGATCAATGAATCCAAAGCAACCAGAGTCTGAGTCGATGTCGTCAGGGAGGAAACCGAGGTGATGCAAATGTTTGCTTGAGAACCCGCCATTAAAATTCATGTCTCGTCCAAACCAGCGCACAAACAGGATGTCCATGCGCTTCGATGTCGATGGTGTATTCTCTTCACCCCAATACCAGATGTCGACATGGAATATGCATATAAGACGAGCATACCAATAAGGGTGACATTCGTCATTGTCTTCATGCGAGAGTACCATCAGATCAGCACGTGTTTGTGTTACAACCATTATCTCATACTTTTACATTCTTACAACATGCCTTCCTTTCTTGGACTTGTACTTACTATCTCACGATGACTTGGTCTGTGCGCACATATGGATCTATTTAAGCACATGTATTACGCTTGTATTCTTCACTTGAATCTTACTAGGTTTTACCTGGAACATCCTTCGCTTAAGACCTCCAATCTTAAGTCGTCTTTAGACCCGATTCTTAGTTAAAGCACTCCTTTAACTAAGTCCACAGAACTCTCTCTTGTCTGAGAGACTGAGAATCTCAACGACCGAAAACTCTGTCGAGTTGTCGTTGTTAGAACTATCCTAGTTCGTAACAAAAGATTCAAGTTGAAAGACACCACACATCTGTGCGTGTCCGATACCAACAGAACAAAGAAGACAAACCGAAAACAAGAAGAATTGCTGAGCAAGACGGCCAGCACGAACAGCAGACCTGACATCACTCACCCCAAGACTACAGGCCTTGAACCTTGGTACTTCAGTACCCCCGCTCAATATGTCGACATCAAACACTAGCAGCGGCAAAGAATTCGAATACAAGATAAACCACCCTCCCATATTCAATGGAGATAGGGATCTGTCTAGATCATTCCTCCTGTCCTGTAACACTTACATGGATATCAACGATAAACTCTACAAAGAAGACAAACATCGCATCATCTTCATCACGTCGTTTATGAACGAAGGAAATGCCAGATTATGGAAAGAAGAATTTCTGGAGGACGCTCAATTCATTGACTCCTCCGGACAAAAGAAAGGATATGGTACCATGAAAGATTTCTTAGAAGCTTTCAATAAAGCATTCTCCGCAATCGATCCCTCCGGAACGGCAATGACCAAGCTGGGAGCCCTCAAAAAAACCGGAGATCTCCAGACCTATATTGCCGATTATCAGAGGTTGATCGCGCAGGCAAAAGTCAAAGAAGAAACCGCCAAAATCTTTCACTTCCAACAAGGACTCAACATAGGAATCCTTATCAAGATGTTCAATGCTGGAAACGTCCCAAAGAACTTCGATGACTACATCGCCGCAGTAGTCGACATCGATAACTGCCACACACAGTTACAATCCATCAGATCCCGCTTCCCTATACAACAGAAGAAGAAAAGATTTGGGGATCAAAGATTTGTACCCACTAGAGATCGCGATGCTATGGTGATTGATCGACTCACGGATGAAAGTCGCCAAGAACACATGCGTGTTGGAAAGTGCTTCACTTGCCACCAGATCGGACACTGTGCTCGGGAATGTCCGCAGAACAAAAAGGGACCCCCCTTTGTCCGCAAAGTAGAAGAAGAGGAAGAAGAAACTAGGCGCATTCAAGAGGATTTTTGAAACGGAGAAACATATCGACGATGGAATCTCCAATAGAACCTGTACGTTTGATACGAGCTGTCAATGATAAAAAAGAACTTCGCATTCCCATTACTCTCATATCTCGAAAACAGGAAAATGTCGAAACGAGCGCAGTAATCGATTCTGGCGCTTCTGGAACCTATATCTCCGAAAGCTTTGTGAAAAAGCTCGGGATAAGAACCCAAAAACTAAAAAAACCATTCAATATCCGAACCGCAGATGGAAGCTATTTCAGCAGCGGACCAGTAAATCGGTACTGCACCCTTATCATCAAAATTGATGAATGAACCATGATAGGAAAATTCAACATTACCAACTTAGGAACACGAGACCAAATTCTCTTGGGAATTCCGTGGCTCCAAAAGATGAATCCCTCTATCAACTGGGCAGAACGAACTCTCTCACTTCCTTGTACCCCAAAGTCTATCGAAATCTCGGAAAGAATTCGAAAACTCAGCATCCCTCCTGAACAACGAAAGTGGACAAATTCTAAACTAAAGAAACGACCATCCAACTTCTCTGCTTCCATCGAGGAAATCCCCGAAGATGTACCGCCGTTACTACCAATGGAGGATGACAATCTTTTTGACACTCAAGAAGATGTTTGGTGCGCCCCACCGGTGCAAGATGTCTCTACCTATAAGCTAGATGACGGAGAATTCATTTGAATCATACAAGAGATTTCACTCGACACTCCTCTCACAAAGGATGGAACATCCTTTTCAGAACAAATTCCGATTATCACCCCTCTCAAAATTAGCAACAAAGCGCAAGAGTTTGCAACGGAAGAAAAGGAAAAACAGAAGAAACCCTTCGAAGAACTCGTGCCCGCTTACCTCCATGAGTATGCGGATGTATTTGCCAAAGATGGACTAAAGCAACTTCCCCTGGAATGACCAGGAATAGACCACCGCATAGAAACAAAACCTGGGTTCCTTCCAAGGACGTCTAAAGTGTACCCTCTCTCACCAAAAGAAAGGCTTGCGGTGAAGAAATTCATTGACGAAAATTTGGAAAAAGGTTTTATCACCCCGTCAAAATCCCCACAAGCCAGTGGCTTCTTTTTCATAGGAAAGAAAAGTGGAGAGCTTCGTCCCTGTCAAGATTATTGAGGCATTAATGATCAAACGATAAAGAACTCTTATCCCCTTCCACTTCCGGCAACTCTTATCGAACGACTACACGGGGCAAACTTCTTCACAAAAATGGATATTAGATCAGGATATAACAACATCCGCATCCACCCGGATGATCGATGGAAAGCCGCGTTTACCACGGAGCACGGATTATTTGAACCAAACGTAATGTTCTTTGGGCTATGCAACTCACCTGCCACCTTTCAAGCATTCATGGATAATGAATTCCATCAGGAAATCAACGAAGGATGGCTGGTAATATACATGGACGATATCCTTATCTTTTCAAAGACACTTGAAGAACATCATGAACGAACAAAACGGATCTTAACAAAGATTAGAGCGGAAAAACTATTTCTGAAACCAGAAAAGTGCACGTTTGACTCTCAAGAAGTCGAATTTCTTGGCATGATCATTAAGCCAGGATCCGTAGAAATGGACAAAGCAAAAACCAACGGCATCAAGGAATGGCCCGTCCCTACTTCTGTTAAAGAAGTTCGGTCATTTTTAGGATTCTGCAATTTCTACCGATCATTTGTCGCTCACTACTCGGATATCGCTCGCCCTCTTATCGATCTGACCAAAAAGGATACCATTTTCTCTTGGAACGCTCAACATCAGGAAACGTTCGACCAGTTGAAAACCCGTTTTACCACCCATCCGGTACTCCGCAACCCAGACCCCTTAAAACAATTCGCTATTGCCACAGACACTTCTTTAGTGGCAACAGGAGGAGTTCTATTACAAACAGATGAAAACGGTGTCTATCATCCCTGTGCCTATCTATCGCAATCATTCAACCCAGCCGAACGAAATTATCCAATCTTTGACCGAGAACTCCTTGCCATAATTCGTGCGCTAACCGAATGGCGACATTATCTTGAAGGACATCCCTCCCCGATTATAGTTTTCACAGATCACATGAACTTGCTCTACTTTAAGAAAGCTGAACACTTATCTCGCTGACAAGCACGATGGCAGATGCTTCTAACTGACTTCGACCTGGAGCTACATCATGTTCCTGGCTCTAAATTAGCTGTACCTGACGCCCTATCTCGGCGATCAGACCATGATACCGGATCCTCCGATAACGATAACACCATCCTACTTCCCGAT